TGGCGCAAATGCAATTACAGTTTCCGATGTTGTCCAAATGCTTGCGTTTGAAGAACTTAGTCTCTTCACAATCCCTAGACACCGATACCGAAACCTCAGAAGAACAGAAAGTGATCCAGCTTGTTGATTTTCCCGGCGAAACTGAAGCTTTTGAGCTCTGTGCTAAGTTCTGTTACGGCATTACGATTACTCTCTGCGCTCACAATGTAGTCGCGGTACGATGTGCAGCGGAGTATCTCGGGATGACGGAAGAAGTCGACCCCGGCGAGACCGAGAATCTTGTCCAAAGACTCGAACTTTTCTTGACTTCTTGTGTTTTCAAGAGTTGGAGAGACTCTTTTCTTACTCTTCAGACAACAAAGGTATTGCCTTTGTGGTCTGAAGATCTTGGTATCACAAACCGATGCATCGAGGCGATTGCCAACGGTGTAACTATATCCCCCAATGAGGAGTTTTCGTCACAATTGGAGACGGGTTTGTTAAGAAACCGGTCAAGGAGAAGAAGAGACGAAAGCTTGTGTAATGGTGGAGGAAGTAAGGGCGAGAATTCGCGTTGGTGGGGTGAAGAATTTGCTGATTTGGATTTAGATCTTTACCGGAGAACAATGTTGGCGATAAAATCATCAAACCGGAAGATATCTCCAAGATTAATCGGAGAAGCTCTTAGAATCTATGCATCTAAATGGCTACTGAGCATCAAAGAAAGCTCTCCTGATTCGAATCTTGTTTTGGAATCGCTTATTTCCCTTCTACCAGCGGAAAGATCTGCCGTTCCTTGCAGTTTCTTGCTTCAGCTACTGAAAATGACTAATGTTATGAACGTTTCGCCTTCTTCGAAGATGGAGCTCGCTATAAAAGCCGGGAACCAACTTGATAAAGCAACCGTGAGCGAGCTGTTAATACCTTTATCGGATAACTCAGGTATGTTATACGATGTGGATGTTGTGACAACGATGGTGAAGCAGTTTCTATCTCAGATCAGTCCTGAGATAAGGCCAACAAGAACTGAACATAGAAGGTCTCGTTCCGAAGAAAACATCAATCTGGAAGAGATACAAGAGATCAGAAGATCTCTTCCTTCTTCTCCTCCATTGTTGGCTAAGGTTGCAAAGATTGTTGATTCGTATCTTCAAGAAATTGCTAAAGATGTGAACTTAACGGTATCGAAGTTTGTTGAATTGGCTGAATCGATACCGGATGTTTCAAGGATCAGTCATGACGATTTATACAACGCAATTGATATCTATCTCCAGGTAATAAAAAGAAGCAAACAAAGAAACTATCCATTAACATACACTGATTAGCTAAACACTACACTCTCTGTATTGCAGGTTCATCAGAAGATTGACAAGAGTGAGAGAAAGAGGTTAGGCAGAATCTTGGACTGCAAGAAACTATCGGTAGAGACAAGCAAGAAAGCTGCACAAAACGAGCTTCTTCCATTGAGAGTAATCGTACAAATACTCTTCGTAGAGCAAGCACGAGCCGCATTAGCTACAACAACAAACAATATCACCACAAACGAAACAGCGGTTTTGGGAAGAAGCTTTACAACG